GTTCCAGGTGGTAACTGAAGGGTGAGAGAGTCCCACGCTGTCTGTGCAAGTATTCAGCTGTGGCGGGGGCTGGGGAACGCAGTCCAATGACTGCTGCTGCTGGGTTGGGCAGAGGATGAAGAAAGTGGGGGTGCTCAGCCACTGTCCCCCTGAAACACGCTTATTGTGTTGAGGCTTGTTCCCTCTGTTCTTTAACAAAACCTTCCCACTGCTGCCGCTTCTGCTGAAGCCCCTGCTCTTCCCCCCTGAGAGAAATTTCCATCTCTTTTCGGCCCTTGCAGTCTCTACACTATATCGTCTGCTGAGGATAAAGACCCACAGGGGCTGAGGTCAGCCAGGCCCTCTCCTGTCCCCCACACCAGGCCCCGCTTCCCTCCTCCCACCCACAAAGAGCCAGCAGCCTGGTCCGTTTCCCCTTCACAGCTGAGCGTGGAACCAAAATTGGCTGTTGTAATGGCCGACTAAACGATGGCCTGATACCCAGATCAATCTTCCTGTGAAATAACTCATCATTCAGGCAGATCACAGGGGCCGGAAGGAAGAAGACAGCCAGGACGGGAGCTGCCACACCAGATAGCATGCAAAGAAGGCAGGGATTGCTGCAGTGATGGGAACAGAGAGAGGGACTGGGCCCACAAGGATGGGGAGAAAGGTATCAGACCAAGAGACCCCCTTTCCATAGTCAGCAAGGAGGCTGAGTCCGGGCTTCGTTTTGGCAATAAAACACAGATGAGCCAGCAGCACGCCCAGGGAATCCAGGGAGTGACCTTGCTGTAAGCAGGCCCTGCGGCTCCTAGAAGATAGTGAGCGTGCACAAAAGTATGGCCACAGCTCCCTGGGAAGACTCCAGCCTCAGAGAAGGAGCTTGGCTCTGTGAAGAACAGTCTATAGGAAGCACATGGCATTTGTATGCAGAAAGGAGCAGCTGGGGGCTGTGCAGGGACCACTGGCAGCCCTCGTGGGGCTTGCATATGTGTGCATAGCAGAGCTCCTTCAGGGGACTTGACGCACACTGTGGGAAGCGCAGGTCAGAGGGACCTAGAAGAAGCCGTGTTGTCCGAGAACTGTATTAGGGTCTTCTAAAACAACAAAACTGGTAGAATGGATGCATAGATTAAAGGGGATTCATTCGAGTGCCTGCAGGATGTAGTCCAGGCAGTCCAGCAATGGCTGTCTCACATGGGGAAGGCTGGGAATCTGGCAGTTGCTCGGTCTGGAAGGCTGGATGTCTTAATAGTTCCAACCTAACACTGAAGGCCTGGAGGATTCCTGAAGAGATGCCTGTCTTCAGTAGACACAGGAAGTCCAAAGATGTTAGCTCTAATACCAGTGAAGGAACGCTGCAGCAGCAGCAGGGTGGATAAACTTGCCAGTGAGAGTGAGGGCAAGCAGGCAAAACCAGAGATTCTTCTTCTGTGTCCTTTGATCTGGGATGCCACAAGAAGGTACCATCTGTACTTAGGGTGAGTCTTGCAGCTTCACATAATTTGATCAAGAAAAGTCCTTAAAAGGGTACCTAGTGGTTTGCACTTCAGTTGCTTTCAGCTCCATTCAAATTGACAACCAAGATCAGTTGTAAACAAGTTACCACCACACCCCCAACATGAATATCATCCCTTCACACACCATCTAGCAGGCATCCTGCCATCCTTTACTGTGCATTTCCCATCTGCTTCAGGTATGTAGCAAGAAAGAGAGTATCAGGGACACTGAGGGTCAGGATCTAATCCTATGCTGGTTGTGTGGCCATGAGACCATCCTCTCTCTCCTTTGTACCATTTGGCTCGTCATCTAAAACCAAGGAAATTAGCCTAGGCAGTTGGACCCTTTGTAGCAGAGAGGCTGAGGACCACCAGGCTGCAGGGACCCTGCTGGAGGACATGGCTTCGGCATGAGTTTGGAGAAGGATGTGGGTATGTTAGTGACTTTCATCTCACTGTGACAAAAATGATGTAATGACCTAAAAACTGGCTCCCACTTTCAGATGATCTCAGTTTACCACAGCAGGAAAGCCGTAGCAGAGCTCAAGGCAGTCGCAGATTGTGGCTAGACTTCTCATATCAGGAAGCTGAGGGTGGCTGGAAACAGGGACAGGCTATACCCTTGGAAGGGCCATCCCTAGTAGTCTAATTCTATCAGCCATGCCTACCTCCTAGAAGCTCCATATCCCACTTCCAAATAACCCAACAGTCTAGACAGCAAACATTCAAAATATGACCCTGTAAAGGACAGCTCACATCCAATCCTAGCATTCCATTTATCCTGGTTAAGTTTTTCGCTTGTTTGGGTTTTTTTTTTTTTCAACTGGACACAAGGTAAGTTATCTGGGAATTCCCTCAACTGAGAAAATACTTCCACCAGATTGACCTGTCAACAAGTCTATGGCAAGTTTTTTTGATTGTTGGTTGACATTGGCAGGTCCAGCTCCCTGGGAGCCGTACAACACACACCTGGACAGGTGGTTCTTCAGGTTTAAGAAACTAAGCTGAGAGAGCCGGGAGGAGCAGATCAGTGAACATCCTCTGTGGTCTTTGTTTCACTTCCTGTCTCCATGCCCCGCCCTGAGTTTCTGCTCTGGTTTCCCCTGAGGATAGACTGTAACCTATAAGCCAATTTAAACCCTTTCTTGCCCAAGTTGCTTTTGATTATGGTGTTTAAGCACAGCAATAGAAACTGAACTAATACACTATCCCTAGCTCTCCAAGAGGCCCATGACCACTTCATAATGTGAAAATGCACTTACCCCAACTTTAAGAGGCTCCATATTCTTAAGAGTATCAATACTATTCAAGTCTGAATTTTCTGCTGAGATTCAGGGTAAATTCCTAACTTTGAACTGCTGTAAAATAAAAACACAAGTTACATGCTCTAATATAGGTAGACATGGAGTAAATATTTCCATTCCAGGAGGAAAGAACAGGAGGGAACCCAGGGTCAAAGCAACTCTGGAGCCCAGCAGGGCAAAGGTTAAATCCAGTAGCCCTCTATCTTATGTCTGGGGCATGTGGTGGCATGGTGTATGCTCCAGATGGCTTGGGCAGCCTCATTGATCTGGGCCTGCCACCACCAGCACACATGGACTCTCTTGGACTGGTTCTACTTGGTGCCTGAAAATTTCCTCAGAAGATGTCTCATGTTAGTGTCTCCATTGGCCTGAAGCTCTCAAGTTAGGCAATGGTGCCTGGTGGCAAAGCCCCAGGGACCTACCCATCCCTACCTTCCCAGCACTAAGATAACATGTGTATGCCATCTTGTCTGTCTGTTGTAACATGGGGCCCTGGAATCAAACTCAAATGCCTATGCTTACATGGCAAGCACTTCATGGATTGAGACATCTCCCCAGCCCACTCAGATCCCCTTTAATGTTGTTAAATCTTTTTAACAGTTATAGCTGCCTTGCCCACACCACTTTGCCCATGGCTTTAAGCACACTCCTACTCCCACCATGCATGTGTTTCAGAGCCTTCTGCTTCACATTTTGCTTCTAATTCTCACTGTAAATCTGACCAAAAGCAACCAGTAGAAACAATGCATGGTCTATAGGCGTCACTATTTTAAATTTTCCTGCATGAATAAATACTTGTTAATTGAGTCTCACTCAAAATTTCAGGGAAAAGTCAAAATGTGGATAGAGGCCATTCTGCAATATGACATGAGCAGCCTCTGTCAATTCCCAACAGAATTGTTACTCCCCCCCAAAACCTCATGAGCACAGCCGTTACTGCCCATGGTTCCTATTGGCGTTCAGATCTTTTGCTGTCACCTTAAGTGTCCATTGATCTCTGTCTATATTCTGGTACATCCAACTCTTCTAATCCATAGCACAGGCTTTTCCACATTCCACCCACAAGTTAGTTCCAAAGGCTAGATAGTCATATTTATCACACCAAAAAAAACCCCACTCTTGGTACCAATTTGTCCTTTCATATCACTGTGACATGACAGAAAGAACTTAAGGGAAGCCAGCTTTCATTTGGGTCACAGTTTCAGACCATCATGGTGGGGAAGGCATGGCAAAGTTTGTACTGGTGGGAGCAGGTAGTGGAGGCTCCTCAGTCACACTGGGCTGATGGTAGCTACCACTAGGATCTGGGCAAAAGGCCCTCTGGAGGCTTTATACCACCCTCTCCCCAAATAGTACCCACAAGCTAAGGAACAGGTATACAAAAT